CGCTGTGTGTGACCATGACCCAAATTCGTAATAATTCCAGAAAAACTGGTTAGACGTCATAGTACACAGCCGCAATGCGTATTATTCACGTGGAATTCCATAGATATAAAAACCGCCTTACGAATCCACCGTATAATATCCACAACGTACGTGTGCCTACGTATTATTATTATTGCTCGATGTCGTTGGTCAATGACATAGGTCTAGACGAAACGAAGATGAGTAATTATACTGTATATTCATTTTCATAAAATCAATATCCAATTGATGGTAATATATTGTACACGTTCATGAATACGCGTTCATAATTGCAGGTTTTGCTTACGGCCACCAAAACAGTGGCTTTTTCTTTTATAAACATTGAACGCTGTTACATCGAGGTTAAATCAACTTAAGTACAGAACTTGTACATACTTGAAACGACCATAAACTAATGTAATAAGTAAAAATTTCCATTTTAAAACTTATACAAATTTTACTCCATCATGACGATATAAAGTGAATATTACGAATAATCGCACGTTTCATCACAGTTTATGAATTATTTTAAAATCAAAAATCAGTTAAATTGTATAAACTATAGTGCAACGGACTACAAAACGTTTCAAATTAGATGTAAGTACTAAAAAATTACCTTTTATCCGGACAATGATTTCGATCAAATTAAAACCAAATCATTATCGATGATTACTCGTAAATAATATTTTATTAAATTTCTTTTAAATTTTGTCATTTTATAACTATCCTATAATTTATGCATTCACACAAAAATAATATTTATCACCTATGTCATCAGTTATATTTAATGTACAGATTATAAATATATTAATTTCGAAAAATGCACATGCACGGTTAAATTAAACGAAATGCAATTGAAAATAATGATATTTATTAGTAGTAAACGAACACTGAATGCATTGAAGTTTTTTGACCACTATATTTTGTATTGTTCCATAAAAAAGTAGGATGTGGACCACATTCATCGTTTATGATTTAATTTACATCTACGATTTGATAAATTTAAAAATATTATCAAAGATGAACATTGACTAGTTAACAAACATTTTCACTTAACCAGTTAGTTACATTTGATAATCAACCACATAATTTCAATAGTATTGATAGTCTATTAATACTGATTCTTGTTACAATTTGAAAATTGAGTTTACTATAAAAATATTCTTACTAATTTACTAAATTGGGTATGTATTGTTAACTCATGTTTAAAACATAAAATGTAATAAAAAGTAGTAAATTCGTATGAACACTGTAGTGACACATATTGCGGTTTGAATCGCGGTGAATGTTAAACGAAATGATACAACGCTAAAAATGATCGAAAAAATCATAATTCTTATGTGATTATTTCATACTTTTGATAATTATTAAAAAAGGACCAATTTTATTTTTCGATCTAAATTAAAAAAATATTTTCTCTACATTAACTTTACACTTATATATATGATTTATTGACTGTTTACTTATTGTTCTTGTACGTCTCCTCGTTTTATTTTCATTGATTTGTATTTGTGTAGCCTAGCTGCGAATAATTAAATAAAATAATTCTGAGGTAGATAACCCACATCATATCGTTTCTAACTAACTTTTACAAGTTCAAGCATTATTGACGCGTATTAGACAGTAAAATATGCATTAGTAATGAAGTCTTAATTGATTACGTGTTTCGTTGGTATAGGTATATGAGGCTTAAAAATGGATAACTGTAACTTGGTCCGATATAGTTCTTATTATCACTGTAGAACCCATTGTGTTTCACTGGACAATTTTCAATATTTGCAAGCTACGAGTAAAATGTTATGCAAGCGTATTCCGAGTACTTCAGAGTATTCAGTCGAAAATGGACACGTGTTTTCTAGCGGAGCACATAATAGGGTTTTGAGAAGACATTCGCACAAAAGAATTACAATAAGATTTCTTTCGTTCGGGGACGATACATTTTTATAATTTGTTTGTTATTGAAACCATACATCATATTGTACGAACATTAATACGAATATAACTACAACCATACGACACAATTTCGTTGTCAAATAAATCTAATCCGTTGTCCCCCCCGTGCGCAATTTTCAGTTGTAATTGTATTACAAAAGAGTCATCATGCCAACAACGCAATTTTCATGTTATGTAATACATATTATTATAATTTTAATTGACCTGGTGTTTATAATTTTTTGAAGGTTAATGGAAAAAGTTATTGAAGATCTTTTTATAAATTTAATTGTATGTATGTTTCATCAAACATTTATTGTTTTCCTACATGTTAAACCGTTTTATTTTGTTATTAAACTTAACAATTTCATTTATATCGATAGATTCATAAAAGTTATATTGAAAATATGAATAAATTATAAAAAAAATAAAAAATATTTTATTGCAGTGTGTGCTACAAAAGTCCACCGCGCATATTTCAAACTGATTGATGTTTGAATACATTTTAAAATTAGTATTTTTAAATCATGCTTTTGAATACATTTTCCATTAGTTTTAAAAAATCATCGAGCAACCATAGCTATATATTATAATTTATATGTTATTGGAGCTCATTATCATTTCCTGGAGAAAAAACAATTTATGTATGAACACAAAAATCTATATTGAGTACAATAATACCCGTTGATGATTTTAATAAACAACTAAAGAAACTTGCCTAGTCATAAAAGTAAAAAAACATATACAAATTAAGATACATAATGTATGCATTATAAATTTATTAATAAATGTTAAATTGTCCTAAAATTTTTTTAAAAAAACCACTTAAATAGCAGTATTTTATTCATAAATCTTGTCGTTTGGTTAACCTTAGTGTGTTAATAAACATTAGAAGAACGTATTGTGTTGCTGATTGCAACACAAATTAACACCAACAATGATAAATAACATACAGCTTGAAAATATAAACAATGAAATAAAGGTAAGTACTCGGGAGATAGTCTATTGGTGTTTTAATAATTCAAACACATAACATCTCGGAAAAACAAATAGTGTACACGACATTTCAAAGTATACTTTTTAATTTTTATATAAAAATATAACTGTATTATTATAATAGTCATCAATTTTTAAATGTTTTGAACAACGTAAATTGAACTCGTTCTAATTTGATATTTATTTATATTGCATTTGCCATCATTATTTTAAATAATATGTTCACTGACATTTATTATATCATTCGTTAAATATGATGACAGCAGTGTATAATGCGAGTTCAATGTTCAGCAGAAATATGTTTGATATTTATACTCCAATTTTGTTTAGTAAATTATTGAAATTAATCAACAAACAAAAGTGTCCTTTAATTGTTTATCTTTTACCATCAAGGTTACGTTAAAATCAATTTTCTTCAAAAAGAACCCAATTAATGTTAATATCATATTATTATAAGTGTTAAGTACTAATAATAGTGTAACGGAAAATAATTGTATAAATAATATTATTCACTAGTACAATCTCTTTATGGACATTAACATTCCTCTATATAAACTATTATACCTTGAACTCCTTAAATACAACTGTTACATTAGTGTTATCCGACATATTACACTTCTGCAGTCGTTTTTATAATTTCTTTATTAGAGTAGATGCAATTTTTATAAATAGCCAGAAATTAACACTTATTTTTAAGCATACATGATCTGTTAACAGTATTGGTGTTCAATTTTTTTGCTCGTGAATATTTAAAATATTCCAAATATTTTTTGCAATTTTGTACAAACATAATAATATTAAATAATTTAATCAAATTCCTAGACAAAATAACTGAATTATAAGAACAAAAACATTAATTAACCGATGATAAGACGTATTTTGGATAGTATAGAAGAATAAGAAAGTATTTACAACTTTCTTTTTAATTATTAATGATTGCAATTAGTGGTGTAAACTAAACAAGTGCAATTTCATCAATGATTCATGTACTGCTGATTGAAAAACTAAAAGATCGAACATTTCTAATGAATTTAGCATAAGACAACATCATGGAATTTAAAACGTTAAGTTACTTAATTTATAATCTAAATGCATGTAAATGTTCTTAGAACTATGGTATAAAGTGGGTGATAACTAATATCTGACAAAGTAGTCGTAACACAAGCACTCGTATTGTATACAAACTAGATGCTTATCTTTCTCTCTCTCTCTCTCTCTCTCTTTCTTTCTTTCTTTCTCTCTTTCTCTCTTCACGTAATCAATTCGAAAAATTCAAAGATATATTAAGGCCTATCCGACAAAATATACAAGATTAATCTAAACGATGATTTTACTCGAATTATTGTTTTCAAAGCTAGAATACTATAGTATATCATTAGAAATATTCCACGCTTCCGTATTGGCGTGTACGAAACATGGTGTTGTACAAACAGAATTATTGCGTTGGTCAAACATTTTTTTTTTCTATATCCACCGCGAAAAACAATTATTTCCAATTATTTTAATTTTTTTTTTTTTTTGTTGTTACTGTTTCGTAAACGCTCGTGTAAACAATCCGCATACCTACAAGCGTATCAATCGTATATTTGTAATTAATAACTATACCGAAATGTGTTCCTATATTATAGTATAACGAACGACATTATTTTACATCTGGGAGGATGTGGCGCCTGTTGTCCGTAACTTGAATCGTAAATAACCTGGATTTTTAATTTTTTAATATTTCCATTCGGAAATAATTGCATTTATGGTTACGTTTATTACGTATATAAAAATTATATAGATATTTATTTAACAACACACATACACATTGACGTAGTACAAAACAATTTGTCGAATGCGTTTGAAAGTCAATGATGTCAACATAATTATTCCAAAATCGATGACCTAAATACGGTATGTTTCTTATTCCCTTATAACCTCCAATGCTTTTCGACTTGAAAATTATGTGTGTGTGTGTGTGTGTGTGTGTGGATATGTTTTGATGAACTCATAAACATAAATTATGTGTCAAATAAATAATGTATTAACAATGCCTTTCGTTTGTCCGACAGTATCGGACACACTCGAGGTGGTTGACCGAGTGCACAGCGAATGGGATGCGAGATTACTGTTCGAGTACAGTGCATTTGAACGTCATCAACGTTTCCCGCCATCGATAATAAGCAACAATTATGGGCCTTACGCCGATCAAGCTACCGTACCAATCGGCCAAGAATCGTCTGTTCGGCATCCAACCGCGGATGTCAGCTAGCTTCCATCAAATACCGACGTTCAACATTAACGACCCTTACAGCAATGAACGGCAAACGAACCGACGAACTGCCAGACGAAATGCGCTGCCCATCAACATGCTCGTGTCCAACCAAAGGAAGCTCAGCAACAGTGAGTACTACTACTGTATTAATAATATTTTCGTTTTCAAATCTCAAAAAACTATAAGGACGTATTAAAAATAATAGTATTTTGCAAAAGTATGCGTATCATATAATATTAATAAAACATTAAAAATCTCTTTACAATTACAATTTTTTTTCTTTTATCGAAATAACGAAATAATCATAATGTTTTAAATAAAACTGTAGTAAATACATCGATCAGAAAGTGCTGGCGAAAATAAAAATAAACGAACAACAAATAGAAATAACGTAAACATAGACGTGTTACCATCAAAGGTGTATAATAATCAAGACGATGAAAACGACCGCAAAATCCGTATCCTTATACAAGAGAGTGGTGACTAAAGAATTGTTATTTCAATATCATTTACCACAAATTACTCATGAACAATTCTGGTACTCTAGACCGTAGGTTATTCTAACCGTTTACGATACATTTCAAAATACGCATGGTATTACGTCATCATATCGTATACAGCCACCTGTTGGTTTATTCCTGTTTACGCATCAAAAGTTATTTTGATGTCTACAGGTTTTGATTAATTATTTTTTCAACAGGCAAGAACAGTGGTGCATTTAAAATACATGCACCTCAGGATGGAATTATTTTATACCCCCCTCCCAACTTGTTGCTACTCTTTACAATCTCAAACCTTCCATTCCTATTTTTCATTAATGAAAAATATGCCCCTTGCTTGTTTTATAAAATTAAAATTTATATCCTAGGATTGAACAGTATACAATTTCAAAGTATTTTGTTCAACTGAAAAATCACATCAAATAATGACATTAGTACATTTTATTAAACAGTATAATTACAATTTTTTTCTTGACTACACGAGTGCATAAGCATAAGTACCTTTAAAAACCACAAAAAATGATTATATGTTATACCTTACACTACAGTTTGTATAAAAATATACCTCGAATTCGTATAATAATAATTTGTTTTATGCGTTATCAGTCATATTCATTCAACTCAAAATGATTTAATACGATAATCCGTTATCAGAAAATCATTGATTAATCAAAAAATGTTATTCAGTACACATGATCAAGTCATACATTTAGTGATAAAAAAAAAAAAAAATAAATAAATAATAAATAATAATATGCTCAATAAGAAAACTGCCCCTACAATTGTTAAACATTTTTCACTAGGGGCATTCGGCCCCTTCAACTCCCCCCAGCTAAATGTACCACTGGGTGACACAGTGTTTTTTTTTTTTTTACTTGCGTTAAACAATAATAATTATTTTTTCTATTATATTAACAAATGGTTCTTGGTAGGAAACATTTTTTTCGAATCCATGAAGTCATAGCTCACGAAACTAACACGACAGTGATAACGAAAATATTAATGATCTTTTTTTTTAAATTTGAATTTATAATTTATCTTGGTATTTTTAATATAAGTTTATTTCAATATGTTTTCCTAGGAAGTTTGCGAAACAAAGTTCCTTTCCTATTATATATATTATTATTATTATTTATTTTACATTATACATTAATTATGTGTTTAATTCTAAATTAATTAATTACTTGTTTAATATTTTAAAAACTATATTTGGATAAAATAGCTGATTAATTAATGTTTATATTCTGAGCATAACAAATGTATTGGTTTTACAAAAATGTGAAAAATATGTAAAAAATAAAAATTATCAGATATTTACAAAAGTTTACAAATAAAATGATTGAATTAAAAATTAATAAACTATTTTATGGATATTTGTAAATTTATTAATTTTTGTATTATTATACTCATAGTTGTTTTTAAGATTTTTTTCAAACACTGAAAACCTAAAACGGGAAAAAACTTTGACTTGCAAACTTCATAGGAAAACTCAATGAAATATAGTTGAAATTTACAGTAAAAGAACCAAAATTAATCGTAAATTCGTAAATAAATCTAAAAAAACCTTGTTATTCCTGTTATCACTGTTATGATAGTTTCACGACCTACAACGCCATGGATTCTATAAAATGTTTTTCCTGCCATTCGTCAATATTATCATCTTCCGCGTGCGTTTCGTAACACAGAACATGTTTGGTTTTATTCTTCGTACACGCTTTTGATCATATAGCGTCGTACTACCTACATCCCGAAAGTATAACATTAAGATGGTAATACGAATTGAAAAAAAAATTAAAAATCACATAATATGTTATTACGGTTACATTGTACTCGATTATACCACCGAAAAGTGTGCGTTTAGTGCAGCGTGGTATTACGAAATCGTATTCGTATAGGTAATAGTAATACGACGACGAAAAAGCAGTAGGTATAGCAGAGTTCGACAAACTTCTAGAACCACTTACGCGCGGCCGATGAGATAATACCACGCATTTAGTAGGTCACCGGGAAATAAAAATCGAGAGTATAATGTTATTATATTATGTTCGTCAACAGGACGGGCGATCAGCTGGACCCGGTTTATCAACTCTGCCCTGTTACATAGTCATTTGTGTGCCACATACGGTTACGACGCGTACATTGAGACCGCGTGCTGGCCGGAGGAAATTTTTAACACTTCATTGTGCCGTTACGTATAAAAAAATAAATAAATGAAAATAAAATAACGTTGACCGGGAATGGTATACATAAGATGATCGTGCGTCGAGCAATCGAACATTTAAAACGTCAATTTTTCTAAAGGGAGGAGAAAGTCACAAAAGCATAACGTATTAGCATACATAATTTATAAACGCACATACGCATGTATTACGTAGTGGTGTTCCCATAGGGTACGTATACTCTCAACTCCCAAACGCTCGACGGAGAAGTGCTAATTAATTTCACGGATTTTAATCGTTGTGTGTATCGTCACGAAGCGATTATTGACGGTACACTATGTGTTCAGGACGGTATCGGTTGATAATTTTAATATCTGTTCCCATAAAAAATAATCACGTATACACATCGATTGTTCGTCAACGTTTACAATTATTTACCGTCACCGTCTGAATCGTAAAAGAAAATAAAAAATGACTCTGTGCCAGACATTCGTGTGGACGAAATGTATGGGAACATCACTGGCCGCACGATGTGTACACGTTCATGCACAGCAAACAACAACGCGTTGTTTTCTGTGCGCGCAGTCGAAACGCAATATCGCGGTACAGTGCCGTTTTGGGACGCAGACGGATTGTTTACCGATTACCAACGAACGTAAAAGCATTGCGGAACGTATGCAACGTGAGATTTTGCAACAGTGAAAACGATAAAGATATGTGGGACGTGTCACGCGGCGTCCAGAAAAACGTGGTCCACCGCGATCGAACGCCCAGGCCGAAGCGGATCGAAGACCGGCCGTGAAAGACCTCGGGTCCCTTGGAAAGATGACTTCAGGGCAGTGGCGTATACACAATATATATTCGGGATGGGCTACTATGGACAGTATTAAATTACCACTGCTATCTAAGAATTACTAACAAAATACAGTAGGTACTTATCTACATTTCATTTACAGAATGTCCCAAAACGATTTGACGTTGGATGTAAATTCTAAATAAGTATAAAGTACCTACTATTAAAATATAACATACGTTTAAAATTATTTTTATGTTTTTTAAAAAAATTCGGGGGGGATGTAGCCCATTAGCCCCCCCCCTATATACCCCACTGCCTCGGGGACATGTGGCCGTCCGACATGTCTACGCGGATGTGTCAGTCGGACAGCGCGTTTGCTTTCACGAGGAGACGGTATTTTTATTATTCATTATTTTGTCCAAGCCGATAAAATGCGGACAAACCGTCCCGGGCCCCGTCGTCGACGTTACGTTGCGAACGCAATCGGATCGTTCGTACGTTACTCAATGCACGCGTTACGACGAGCCCTTGTGACATCGCGGACTTCGGTTCCCTGCGCTTGTTAGTACGCGGCCATCGGACCGAAACGTCGGCGGTACAGTGACCGCGCGCGCGAGCGGCTGGGCCGGCGGAGGAGAGCCGTTCGACGTTACGACTGCTTCGAATAATTAAAATCCATTTTTCAGCGTTTCGAAAACCGCCGCGCGCGTTTCATCTTGTCACTGTTTATTTATTTATTATTCTTTATTCCCGTACGATCTGGATGAAAATTAAACAACGCACGGTGCACGCGCCATTATGTGTTCGCGGTGTACAGTGTTCGTTAATCGTGACCGATGCCGTGGTACACGCGGTCTTCGCCGAACCGTGGTAGTTGAACGATACCGAACCAAACACAAACGCGTGTCGAAATATCAGCGGGCGCATAACGTGTGGTTTACATTGCTCGCGCCAAACGGTCGACATTAATAAACCAATAACGACGACGTGCACGCGCGAACGATTGTAAACTTCCAAACAGTGTCTGCCCGATCGCGTTATTACACGTTTGTCAGTAATATTCTCGATGAACGCGTTTAGTGTTAAGGTCACCGAGTCCACCAATATTATTCTTCTAGACAGAATTAATTCCAGATAAATGTACAAGCGATCGAACTACGAGTATATATAATATTATATTTCGAATATGTTAATACAACAATATGGAACTGGTCGGTCAATAGCAATGCTGATCAGTTTTTCAGTACTATCGAAAACAACAATCTAAAGTTTCGTTCGCAATCAATTTCAATGTTTTAATCGCATTGAAAACTGTATAGTTAAATATTCTAGTACGTATTCGTTTATTTGTACCCGATTCAAAAGGGCTAGTTTCATTTTACATAAAAGTAGTTTTATATGTATTGATATACGTATTATACGTATGATAAAGAACACTGATTCATTATACACCGTTTATAGTAAATTTATATATTTGCAAAGACTTTACGGTAACAAAACGATTTTATCAAAGTGTTTAAAATACTTTCATAATTCATAAGTCAAAAATACTTGACACAATAGTTAATAATTTGCAAAACACTAATCAAGTAACAAAGTCTGTTTAACAGCTCAAACAATAAGACTCTATTCACGTTTCGTAATATTTCGTTTGAGTTAAAACAAGATTTGCATGTACATTAGCAGTAATTTAAAAAAAAAAATTAAATAAATAGTAATAATTATAATATTTTCAGGTCGATTGGCGGTCATCATATTCGGTGTTATAGCATTAGTAGCTGGACTGATTCTCTCCTCGGTTCCGTGGGTTCATTATATAATTTTAAAGGTATTTATTTAATTTTCTGCAATAGTAACTACTATACACTATTAGATTGTAACAAATAAGCTCTGCAGGTGTTTTTTTGAATGATGTAAATACAGTTAATACCTATACAATGTTAAAATCGTATTGGAAACTATCGGTTTCAAATACAATATAATATTTTCAATACATTGATTGTATAACAATACACATAATATTAATTCGTAGGATAAATATATGCAAAGAAAAATATAAGATATAATAACCAGTACTAAACTTTCTACACGGAGGTGATACTTCTAACATGCACAAACACTACTAATGGTAAAATAAATATATAATTAGTGTTAAGACAATATGATTTGAAGTTATCGCAAGTTTCAGATATCAGTCGTTAATGTGGTACTAACAAATATAATATTTAAATATCTTAATATAGTTTATTGCAATGGTATACAAATCGAACAAGTGTTAACATATTAAACACAGTCTATAAATTATCATAACTGTAGTCCATGAAACAAAAGACAAATTATTCACTTATTACTTATTAGTTATAATAGATATAATTATTATATGTTTTGGATTTGTAATATTAAAAAATGTTTTATCCGATATAATAATGCAACACATTTTTAATACAAAGTCTTAATTCATTAACATTTTTTAATAGAGTGATTTTTTTAAACACTCAATGCCAATTTTTTCAGCTTATATATCTTTGAAGTAATACATTTTACATAAGTAATTTCCAATTATGAATATATAACTCGTTTGCAAAATATTTAAATAATTTATTATTTTATATTGTAAAAAGTTTTTTTTTTTAACTTTTAACACATGAAAACCGGTATCGAACCAGTAGTCAATAGATTCTAAGTATATTAAATAATTTATATTTAGTTTAAAAGACATTTCACTCAAATATTACGATATCTTCTCATTTTTCACTCATCTCCACTCATTTAAACTGTAAATAGTTAACTATTAATTCGATATTAGTTTTAATTTGTTGACATATTTTAAAAATATTTTGTTTTGTAGAAAAAGTATTAAAATAAAATAAAACAATGATGAAATATTTTCTTGAGAAGATTATATAGATCTATTTGTAATCAATTTCACTAATATCAATATTTTCATTCTAGAATTTAAAAATTTGGAATGGCACTTTAAGTTACCACTACTGGCAAAAACCTGGTGTAATAAGACTGACAAAAGTATTCATATTCAATGTCACCAATCCAGATGGATTTTTGTACAACGGAGAAAAACCAAAACTTCAAGAAATCGGTCCATTTGTGTATAGGTAAGATTCATCAAAATTTAAATTATAAATATTTTGATAAAATAATTTAATTATAATACATAAAATTATTTTAAAATAACTTTATAACTTTTATAACTTCAAGTAAAATATCTGTAAAAACAGTACCATCCTCCTTCACCTGCCTTCCAGGATAAACGATACGATTTGTGTACATGAATACATTACTGCACAAAAACCAAACCCGATTGTAACATAAGTCATTTGAACGGTTTTGAATATTCTCTTAAAAGTTATTTAAAAAAAAATGTTGTAGACGTCACTGAAGAAGTATTTACTATTTTGTATGCTGTATGATGTAAAAACAAATATAATATCTACTAAAATATTTTACTATAAATGCATACATTATAAACATCATTTTCAAAAGTTGAAATATAAAATATAATTTACCTACATTCGTATTATTGTCCAATTTGCATCAGTTTTGAGAAGGTTGTTAGAATCGGAAAAAAATATTTAATTTTATGTACAACATATTCTTATGTACATATATATATATACCAATAAAATATCTTTTCATTTAAACTTCGACATCATAGTATTTTTAATCTCTGATCAAATTTAATAGAAATCACAATTTCTTATAAAAATAGTTAATAGAAGCAGAAAATCTACAAGCTAACAATTATTCATTATTTTAGTTACAAGAAATTATTGAGTTTTTATTAAATTTAATTATTTTAAATTTTTTCAATAAAGAAAAATTAATTTTATTAAAATTTTTTTTTCCGAAATTTTTTACTGAGTAAAGTTTTAGACGAAACTTACATTCCTTTTCCAGAATTAACTGCAAACACACATATTGTTGTGTACAAAGAAAATTATTGGAAGGTCATCAAGACCGTTACAGCGTATAGTAAAATTTCAGTGTATGGACATCACATAATAATATCATGGTCCACCAGACTCCTATAGATTTTGTAACTCGAAATAAAATATTATATTATATTTTATATTGTTTACACAATAAGCTAAAATCAAGATTTATATTTAATGTATGATTTGATATTTTAGTTTAACGTTTACAAATTAAATTATAATATTATATTGTGTTATAAATATATAGCACAATATTTTGGTATATCCACAAGTATTGAATTCCAATTACATTTGTTTCTTATATTTACTAATTTACTCGTAAAAAGTTAAATATTTTTACTAATGATAAAACTACTCCAAATTTATGTTATATTTCTTATTTAATATGTCATAATTGAATGATAAAATATTTAAAAATATCGAGTTCTATTAATAATCCTATAAGTTATGTAACCTTACAAAACTATAGTGGTGCACGAATAGATGTAGACATTTATTCATATTTTTATCCGAGCGACTGCAATGCATTAGGATTTGATTAATGTTTACAACCACAATAATCACCAACTCGGCAGTGTATTTTTCACACAAAAATAACATGAACCACTCAAGCCACGTATTGTTTATATATTATTTATGTTTTAAATGAAATAAAAATTACAGTGACAAATTTTAATAGTAATACAACATTCATTTTAACATGAGAAACCTTGCGAGAAGATATCGATAGGGAAAATTTTAAAACTATATGTATCCATGTAGTAGTTTTTATTTTCAAAACTTGATCTGGAAGACCTAATTACACAATAACTTAAACGCTATAATCGTTGCTACTTTCAGTCTTGAGATTAATGTTATTCATAACAGTCCTAACCATCGATAGATAACACAAAAGGCATTTAATTTTATTGAAACCATGGGCAATGGCCGTGTACAAAAAAATTATCCACGCAATTAATTTAACATAAGAAACACATACAAAAATGAGTGCTTGAACAAAACGCATGCCTGATGTACTATCAGGACCACCATTTTTTTATCCAATCTGAAATTTTTATCATAAATATGGAAACCTTGAAAACTATCATCTCGTGAATCTTCCATTTGTTAGAAAAAATTATGTTTTGATTATTCAGTTTATATGAACACACATCTATCTATGTTCGCCCTTGTGCTGAATATCACGTAGAATATAGCCTTGTATAATAATACGAACAAACCCCTTAAAATGTCAAAAAATATATATAATTATAATTTGCTGAAATATCATAAACTATTAAGCAGATGATAACAAATACCGAGTGTAGTATTCATACATGTTTATAATATTTTTATCATAATACTACGAGTATATCGATGCGATTGCATTATTTGTAAATATTCAAAATTTTTAAAAATAATCAACAGTTATTTATCATTATAATTGGATAAAGAACATTTTCTAAGACATTTCAGCTATTACAATGAAATATAATATATAAACTCAATCAAATGCAATGAACATTATCGTTTGTTTTTATAATTTATCCATCGCATAAAATCATCATAATAATCATATAATAATAATTTAAACACATACTCATTTGGGTAAAATATGTATCTAGAACATAATCGTCTTATATAGATAAATTATATAACTGGATCTCAGTACCAATAAACGAATTATTAAATTTTAATTACTATTAAAGCAAGTTTAAACATTTTAAAAAATATTGGTCGTGGATTAATTGCGAAAAATTGTCATGTAATAGTAATCATTCATAATCGAAACATGAGTATTTACGAGTACATAGTAATTAAATAATAGCGTAATAATTTGTATCGATAAATATGATGATAGTTTTAACAACAAAAATCATTAAATTTGATGGTCACATATTTGTAGGCTTTTTAATTATTTGAAATTTGACTCCATGTACATGACCCTGGATGCACCACCGTCTTTAGTAAAAGTAAAATTGGAAAGACCCCTCCATGTGTTGTAATAAAACTGCTTTATTTTTCTTAGGAGCTTCGCGTCTGCATAAGCCACTTACCGGCCTTGACCCGAGCCTCAGGAATTTACTCGTTTTTAGTAAAATAGATATCGATTAAATAATAATACTTGAGGGGAATTGCAAAATTATATTTATAATGTGTAATGTGTATGATATGTATGAATTAAATTATTCAAATCTATATGTATATCATCGTTTGTTTAGATAATTTTATGTTACAATTGATTTTAAATAAGAGATTTGTTTTTGAAAAATAAAAACATATTTATCAATTTATAAATCTATGACAAATAGAGATAAATGATCTATAACATTTGGAAAATTAAATTACTTTACACATCAGCTTTAAAATAACAATGACATTCGATGATGATTAGCTAAAAATGGCAATGTGGAACGATGGTTAACAACAGTATGAAGCAAGTGTGTCTGGGAGAAAGTGGTCAGAACCTTTCCTATACAAGATTATAATACTACTGAATGATCTAGAGTGGCCGCAGAGGCTGTGTACAATGGCGTGACGTAATAAGCCACGGGCGTTAAGAAAAGCAACATTTTTATCATATTAATAACCGCAATTTTGAATACAAAATGAGTTAATTTTTCAAATGATAAATACGTAAAAAGAATATTATTATTGAATTTGAAAAATGTAATTTTTTTTTATATTTGAATACTTATTCTATATAATATTCAAATAGTGAAGTGAAATTCTAAGTAATTTCGTACATAGAACTATAAGTATTACTAGTAAAATTCCTCACGTTACTGACGTTACGGTTATTAATATTAATGCATTTGTTTATTATCTCATTCCGCCTTAAATTATTCAATAAATCTTAAGTGCTTTCCATATTATTGCACCCATGAATATATCTTTACAAATATTTTACATTATAAAGTTATAAATGACAATAATTTTAAAATTATTAATATATATAAATTATAATTATTATATTATATACATATATAAATTATGAATTATTTATTACAATGTCTAATGACAATTTATGAATGATTTTGAACTATATATATTTTTATGAAACTAGAAAAAATAATTTCTTAAAACCGTCAAATATCCTATATAATGCTCAAACCATGTTCAAAACCTTTCTGCATCAAATATCAAAATAATACTATCTGAAAAGTATTTACTTGATAACGTCTATCTAATACTGTTTATTGCATCATGACCTAGAATATGTTTAAATGACATCATACTTTATGTATTGTACATTAAATTTTTTTATACGAACCTCTATTATATCTTATAACTCAAATTGAAAATCTATAGACAGTCTAGTTGCTATAAATTTTAACCAAAGAAATTAATGTATTTTATTTTGTCTAATTACTATCGTTAATTTTATTAAAAATTTCAAAATTATTATTGCCTTCGAAATTTCTATTAAGCCAATTAGAAGGCCATACAATTGAATAAGTTGCATACTTGCGTGAGTGTGTGTCCTTTTATCATTATGTCATTCGTAAAAATCACCCCAGGTAGTCCAATACTGAGAGCTGAGAGTTTCTTACTATTGATAATTAAAAAAACGATAATAACTTTCATCAATGATACATACATAGAAAATAAAATGACAATCTAAACATTTTTAAGGGTCACGTTATTAAATGATAGATTATAATACTTCTTTTCTTATCAATATTGTCCATGTACGAGAAACAGACATGTAATAGGTTTTATCCAAATATAATAATATAATATTTAACTATGTTGATTTCAAAAAAATTATTCATGATTATTTAATGTTAGATGTTAAGTTATATAGTTTGAATTTAAGTTATCAAAGATGAAATGATAAATAAACAAAAGTTAGATCAAGTTCATGTATATTTCGATATCACTTAGCGGTAACACTGAGAGTTAAATTATTATAATTATTGTACTAAGACAGTAAATTAGTGAATTTATTAATTATATTGTCAACATTTTTTATTAATTTCAGGGAAGACATGGAAAAGGTTAATATTAAGTTTAATAATAATGGCACGGTGACGTATCAACATAAAAAAATTTTAGAATTTATGCCGCATCTTTCAGTTATCAAAAACGATGAAATCAAACTAACTGTACCAAATATCCCTTTACTAGTAAGTTTTGCTTGGTTCATAAATATGAAATTGAAAATTGAAAAATTGAAAATTTCTTATTCCAGACTTTGACTACACAAGCAAATAGTTTACCATCAATACTGAAAAGTTCACTTTCAGCTATTTTAAGGTTTTCAGGCCTGACACCCTTCAAACACGTTACACCTCAACAGTTAGTGTTCGGTTATGACGATCCGTTGACAGCTCTAGCCAACACTTATTATCCAAAAGGGAGAAGACCACCAAAGAAAATGGGACTGTTCTTGATGGTATTTTTGATATTCATTTTTTTTTACATCGGTATACTTTAGGAATTAAAATAATGATAAATTATTATAATGTTTCAGCGAAATGGTACTCTAGATGAAGTTTCCACTATTTATACGGGTCACAACGGAATGGAAAATTTTGGACTTCTCAATCGAGTGAACGGAATGGAAGAGTTACCTTTTTGGAGGGGGTCTTGCAATTCTATTAAAGCTTCTGAAGGTAAATATATTGTTATACGTGAAAACAAGAAGACTTGTTTGATTTAATATACCCAATTATAAATAGTAACAAACATAAATAGTACAAAAACACTTAAAATAGATTTTTCAACCAATACGAAATACGAGTAAATAATGATAACAAAAATCGATTTAACGAAACATAATGAATTAAATAAAAACAAATAAAACTGCTAAGTTCATAATATAGTCATACAGTTTGAACTTTAAAGTAAATATGTGTGAAAAAAAATTATATGATTGAGCACGATTATACCTTTTGAATGTAAGATTGGACATAATATACATATAAAAAAAAACTAATTGCTGATCCTTCAAAATAATGACGATTGGGCACGAAATCATACTAACGTTTTCGTGATTGCATATTTCTTATAGAAATATAAATTAATATTACGATATTGTTTTCTACTCATGGGCTTTTTAGCTAATACTTTTAATTCCAAATATTTTTGTATTTTAAGTCGGTTAGGAAATAAAACAATTAAATTATGTTCTAACCTTTGTACCAATTTTTGAAACTGTATATTTTAATCAAATCTATATATATAGATTCATTTAATTTTGCTTTTAGTGAAAGCTTTTAAAGATCGTTTCTTTTTATAAAAAAAGTATTAAAGTTATGAAGAAATGGTTAAATTTTTTACTTATCATTGCATATTTTAAATTATAATTTTTATTCAATGTCACCAAATTCCGTGTGATATATGTCATTTTTTGTTACATATAATTTTTCAATAACTAATTTATATAGATCATAGCAATCGAATTAATTTGTAAGTTAACAAATTCAAATTCAATAAAAAACACCAACTAATAATTGCTTCTTTTCATATTGTATTGCCTATAGTAAATTATATCACGTAAATTATATATATAATACATACGAAAAAAAACGTGACTTAAAATTCTTTGGTACAAATATTATCCAAGCTTATAATAATATATCAGGTTATAGCTGTTATGATAATTCATCCTTTTTTAACTTATTCTATATAATATTTAGTTTACATAATATTTAGTTTTTTTGGTGGTATAACGATTTTTATAATAAAAAGTCTTTAAAAATGATTTATATTTTCCAATAGAATAATAAAAATGCGTTTTGACTATTTCTAGGCCATTAACGTTCGGTAAAAGTGGCAATATCGTCAATTAGTATCCACGTGTTATCATATTTTATACATCATATCTAATGGGTATGTTGAACATTTTCGTATTTGATAGAGTAATTTATCTCTATCTTGTTTGAATGTTTTGTCAATTTTTCATAAAATCAACTATATTTGCACCCTTAGAACTAAAACTGGGATGAATATAGAACGTTCGTTTTTGTCTGATTTTACAGCTGCCAGCATATAATATCATGAATCCTTAAAAATATTTGCTTTTTTATTATCCTTCGGCCGCTATGAATGCCACTTGACCCCATTTAGTTGTACAGAGCATAATAAGCATTGCACTTTCGATCTATGTTGTTTCAATGCGGGCGAAGACCATTAGTTAGATTTTTAAACTTAGCTTATAGATTGACGGACCCGCTTGATATATGGGAATTAGCAATATTATATGATCTCATTTTATGTATCGTTTTGTATAATTTATTGAAATATATAAATACAGCCTGTGAATATAAGCTCCTCGAAGAGTCGATACCGCATACGTCCTGAAAACTTTTTAAACTATTGACTGCAATGTGTATTGTATGAAATCTGTAAAACCACATGTGTTTTTTATTTTTTATTTTTCCTTACCACAATATTCAATACTTTATTTTCAGTAGTAAATTTTAATTTTGACAAAAATGTCGATGTGCGTATACGCGGAAGTCTACGGACCCGTTTGAACCTTGATTTTTCCTATTCCAGGTTCGTTTTTCCCGCCACGAGAACTGACAAAGTCTGATCTGGTGCACGTGTATGACAAAGACTTGTGCCGAGTGTGGGCGCTGAGGTATCGGAAAGAAATCATCAAAGACGGCGTTAAGGCGGGCTATTACACGCCTGATGACAACCTACTAGAGACGGTAGACAAAAACCCCGAAAACTCGTGTTTCTGCGAAGATAACACGAATTGCACTATCAAAGGACTGCAATACATCGGGCCTTGTCAATTTAGTGAGTAAAACCAAATGCATAAGATAACATTGATCCAATGTGGATCGAAGTCTACGCTTAGTACTTTTCATCAAATATATGATAGCCTACAAACGATGTTGTACTCGTATAATTAATAAAATATGTACCTGACGTGTAAAATTAATGTGACCGTTTATGTTTTCAGATGCTCCGGTTTACTTATCTTTTCCTCATTTCTACAACGCCGATCCGCGACTTTTAGATGATGTGGAAGGTCTTTCACCGGACCAAGAAAAACATGAAACCTTTTTTAAAATTCAACCCGTGAGTATTCGATATTAATATATATATATTTTTTGAAATAACTACGATAATCATTAAGTTTATTAAAGCATTTAAATAGCGAATTTATACGAATTTTTTGATAAATTTTTTTTTAAATTACTAAAGCTACATTTCTATGAGCTAACAGTGAAAATAACTGCCTTAAATATTATATTTTGTAGTATATTCGATTTGAAATGACAAATAATCTTTTATTAGAATATAATACATATTACTTTACTAATGTTAGATTCGCGATAAACTTTTAGAGAAAATATTTTTTATATGTTGTTTATTACGTGTTTCCGTTGTTATTACGATCACTTTATACCATGATTATTTCTCAAGAGTATGACCTATTTACCGTTTCTATAGTTCATGTTATCCTACTCACCTTCCTTGGTTGAGGGAATCTTGACCATGCTGAATTCAATTATCTCTCTAGTACAGTTACTAATATTAAGCAAGTAGTATATTTTTCAATGATCACACACAAATGCACGCAAATAATAGTAAAACATAATTTAAAACGTATTTTTGTTTGTATAAAATAATGTGTAAAAAATAGTTAGCATGTCACAACTACGTAGGTCGAAGATACAAAAATCAAGTTTGTCTTATTTTCAAGCATTTATCGCTTTCACATATATCACAAGGTTTTATTTTATTGTCATCGCTTAGCGTTGCGAAACCATAAATATTATTCGGTAGATAATTTTGTACAAACATAGACACCCATATACAACAAGCAATGGGTTAAAAATACTTATACATTATTGGTTACACACACGCATATAATCAATGTAAAAATTAAAACTACTCCGTGCTATACGCGCTCGCGTTTTTAATAACATTAATAGTAGATGAGGCGATTAGCGGCGATCGAAGCGTACAAAATTAAATATGAAATAAACAACGTATTAGCTGTTATAGACTTATAGAAACCATCAAGGTATGGTAATGAGAGCGTGTTCAAACTAAAAACTTGCAATAAAAAAATAAAAAGCGCGTGATATGGACGATGTTCTACGTACAGGACATAGGTTATTTTCTGCATGTACCCTTTTCCTACTTCTAGTTAATTTTTTGCTCCAACACGTACTTAACTATAGTTCTCCATCGGTCTATCTAATTGCTTGTCGCGTATTCCGTGTGTGCTTATCGCCAGAAGTCGGCTCATATTCTTAAACTCGATTGAGTCTACGCAATATCCGTCACTCAACGTCGTTGTTTTGCAGAGATTGGGAGTGCCTTTGGAAGCTCGCGTCAAAGTGCAGCTCAACTTGAAAGTCGAACAGTCAAGCATTTATCCGACGTCGAACTTCAGGAGCATCACGTTCCCAATCATGTGGCTGGAAGAGGTAATTATGACTGGCCCGATCGAGATGGGCGCGCGCGATTGGAGCTGAAAACCCGACGGGCCGCACGATCTCGGTCCTGCTCTGCTGTGGACAAAAACCGCGACCGTCCGATTCGGGTCCCTTTGCAACTCATCAGCAATCGAAGCTTCGGGAAACTGGGTGCGGTTCGAAAGTCTAGAAAAAAAAAACGGGTAGGAGCAGGCCCGGCTCTAGGGGTAGGCGACATAGGCTCACGCCTAGAGCGGCATTTTTCCTGGACAATTTTTATGTATAAAAAAAAATATTTAATAAAATATTTACACGTAAGGGGCGGTAAAAACTTAATTTCGCCTATGTTTATTTAAACACTTGAGCCGGACCTGGGCGGGAGCCATTCGAGAATCTTGAAACAAATAGTTCTCCGCGTGCGTTCGTATTGAATCGACAGTAGGATGTTACCATAGTGTCGGTGATCGTAGGAATTATAAGGAGGAGGGTGGTAATTAGTGATAGTGATTTTTCTACCGGAATCAAATAACCTTGTACCGCGCATCCCTCAAACCGTGTGCCGCATTGCTGGTGCTGCCACGACATGTAATATATTTACGTGTACTTCGTTTGCGCAGGGCGTGGGTGACTTGCCGGACAACATACACCGGTGGATATACTTGGCCACTACGTTCGTGGACACGGCCGTGCCGCTGTTCACGTACGGTCTGGTGCTTTGCGGCGCGCTGATGCTAGTCGCGGTGTTCGTGAAGACGTACCACCAGATCGTGTTCACACGCGAGAACATCGAACGTGGCCGGCAGACGATACTGCGCCGCGGCAGCAGCATACTGGTGAATGGCCAGCACAGGCTGCTCATCGTCCGCGACTCGTACCACCGGATAAGCCACGCGGTCCAGGAGACGGACGTGGACGCCCAACAGCTGCTGCCGTGAGGAGTCGCCGTCGACCGGAACACCGCGATTCGTCGGTTCGACCCCTCCGAATCCCACCCCCTTCAGTCGATCGTCGTTCTCGTCCTCGTGTTCATCTCCGTGTTTTCCTCCGGGCGGGCATGCGCGTGACGATTACGTGTGTTCGGGAATCTGAGGGAAAAACAACAACAACAACAACATAAACAAATTAACAACGCCCTTCCCCTCTCTGAGACGAAGGCTTACGGCGATACACTTGCGCCGGCGTCGTGATAACGTACGGATCTCGACGTACGGGATTCGAAGACGCCGCGGAAAGGAAAAGGAAAAAAATTAAATTAAAAAAAAAAAAAATTAAATTCTCTCAAACTGGACTGTGATACGGATTTTATAGACGAAGACGTTTTTTTTCTTCTTTTTTTTATTTAATATAAGATATCAACGAAAATAATCAAACATAATTATTTATAATGTATCGTAAACGTATATGTTTAGATGTATACGAGTATATAATACCGTACGTATTGTATACTTTTAACTTGTTTAAGAGCGCAGTATTATAATATATAAACGATTTCAATCTCGATTTAGTTTAGAACCGATTATGTTTTACACCCGGTGACGCTGTACCAAGAAACCTACGTCGTGATGACGTACGGTAGTACGCAAATTCTTCTACTATTTCGTTTGGAAAATTAAAACGATCGATTTAAATTAAATCGACCTATAGACACGGTTATTTTTTGTTTCGTGCGCGTCGCTATAGATTTTTATAAAATACGTATAGTTAGAGTCACGTTCGGGAACCAAAATTAAAGCCGAACATTTTATGTCATTTGATTAAACAGACTTGTCCGTTCGTATCTTAATAGTATGAATTTTGACTTCAATCACGACCATGGTTCGACGTCGATCACCGTTATAGTATAATTTATGTACATACTATACATTACGGTATGAATGAGTGGTCGTTTTTTTTTTTTTTTCTACAGACAAACTTTAAAATAAGTAGGGCATTTATTACTTAGATTTTTCTTTTCTCATTACTGATACGCCTATTTATACTTAGGAGGATATATTTCCAATTATTTTCTATGTGCGCACACCTATTTGCTCAATAAAAATATTAAAAAATCAAACTATGGCAACAATTTCATCGTTACCATAATATTATATTGTATACTTATTCTTAACAAAAAGTGTATAACTTATTATTTTATAATTCAACATTATAGTCTTGTGATTATTGTGTTTAACTATTATTATTTATTAAAATAGACAATATTATGTACAGTGTATAAAAACCTCATTTCTTATTATATTTTATATCTAGAACAAAACTTACCAAAAAACTTTTAATGTGTACATCATTCTACAGATTGGTGATATATACATGACTTGTGTATAACGAATAAGACATTGTCAGAATTATTTTGCTATTATTGTAACACTTTTTTTATCAGGATGGATGTGTACTGTCCAAAATATATTTTGTATTTTATGTAAAATTTTAATAAAAAATTTTTTTAAACAAATACTGATATATGTGTATTTGTTATGCAACCCTTGAATCAAATGGAACTTGTGGTAACGTGCTTATTGAGGAAAAAAATAGTGAGAGGAGTCAAAAATATGAAACAAACCTAATGTTTCTCCATTCCAACCATTTTTTTTTTTTTTTTTTTTTAGTAAAGTTTAAAAATAATCAAAATTGATGAAAATATGTAATTTTTCTTTTTCCTTATTTCCCACACAGGGTCTTATAATTATATAATTTTTTAAAATATTTTTCAGACTAATATTTTTCACAGGCCTTTGCACCCCTTAAAAAAATCAAACACCCAAAACCCATATAACCCGAATGATTTTTTTTTAAAACATCCGAATTATTCAAAACCCGAATAAAATATTGGTTTTAACCCGAAACCCGAATAATTTTTATTTTACAATCTTTATGTGACATATCATATTGTATGTATTTTTTGTGGTTATTTCAATTTTGTCATTAGTTGTTTAATAGTAAAATTATTATTCACAGAAATAATTTTCACAAATTTTCACAAATATTATTCACAAATAATATATAAAATTTTTTATTAATTTTAATTTATCTAAATAAAGACAACAGCAATATATCATATTGACAGGTGTGCATGAATGGTATGGTATGTTGAATGTACAAGTGTATACAACTGGGATACTATTTTTAAAATTATCTCAAGCGGATATACGTCGTATTATTATAATTTAATAAGTAATAGGTTTTCTACGAACCACCAAGTCGTTATTTATTGCAATACTGTAAGTCTGAAATAGAATTTATGTCTCGCGTATGATTACCTAAATTGTTGTTCGCATTATTCGTATTTGTTCAGTGTATGGCGTGAAGTACATATGTCTATGGCGTGAATTGTCAATTTTTGTTGGTGTAATAATTTCATTGTAACATTTGTAAGTACAAATTATTATTATTTTTGTATTACGCTATGTTCTAGCTAGTGCGTTTTTAGTGTGAGCACGCATCACAAACCATAAGCAGAAATTTGGTGAATTTGTGGGGGGGCTGAAAATTATTTGCTTATTACACCTATAGAAACCACTGTGCGCAATTATTTATTTCAACAAGGCAATTCACGAAGTTTGACAATTTGACATTTTTAATCAACAATTTAAACAAAAAAAACAAAGGTGCCTTATCTTAAACATTTTTGGAGCAAGTATTCTAAACAGAAATTATTATTTAATTTAATTAAACAATATATTCGGGTATTATTACATATTATTAATATTACATTAATTGCGATCGTTCCAAGTCATGACAAGAAGTTTGTAAAATTTTATGAATTTGATTTAATTTTTATCACAGAATATATTTTTTTAATTCGGTTATTAAAAATGCATTTTTCAATTATAATAATTATTGTATTTTTAGTCTCTTAACAATTTTTAGAACTAGGGAGGCTAAGACCTGTACTTTATATTTCTGGGGGGTCTTAGTTCCCTCAAGACCCCCCCCCCCGATTTCCACCTATGCCAGAAACACAAACGCAGAATACAAAATAGTTTTGTTTTTTGTCGCATAAGATATGCCCGCACTAACAAGGAGTAGGACATAGTGTTAGTATTTTAATTTGAATAGATATTATAATGTATAAGCTTCATACACATATAAAACAACCCCCTCTTCCCCGAAAATAAATCGTAGTTACACCATTGCTTGAAATTAACATAATGATAGTTTAGTCTAAAAAACTGTTGCACAGTTGTATAAGAAATTGATATTTTATTACATAGGCAGGTAACAAAAAATATAAATATTTCATTAGTGGAGAGAAACTTAGCCTCTCCACCGCCCTCTACCAATGAAAAATAATATTTTTCCTTGACTACTTAATATCCGTATTAACCAATATTAACCCGAATAATAACAATTATTTATACCCAAATGTTTGTTTAAATGTTATATTGCGGTGTTTGAACACCCGAATATATTCAACACCCAAAACCCGAAACCCAAAAAAATTATTCGGGTACAAAGCCTTGATTTTTCAGTACAAAAATAAGTAAATGTATTAAGTTAAAAAAAAATGTGTTATACCTGTCCATTAAACATAATATTAACTATCGAATGATCTGAATTACAAGTGATTTCCTGTTTTAAATAAATTAATATAATGCTATGAAACTTTTTTCAGTTCTAAAGTGGGAAAACCATACTTTCCGCGGACTCGAAAAAGGTAATACGGAACATAATTTGTCCAGATTTTTCAAGCTTATCCTTTATTAATCTTATTTTTTTTCGCTGTTAATACATAAATTCTTATTCAACAAACTCTCTACTTTAAAATAATACTTTTGAGTTATTATAATATTGTTTTGATTACTCTAACGGGTATATTATATTAACTTGTGTCAAATTTTATTTTACAAAATATTTTTTGTTTATAAATATTTTATTTGCACTTGAAATCCTTTATGTGGCACACATTTATTTTGTTACTTGAGTAAACAATAAAAGCAGTAGGTAATTAAAAATATGAGTCCAATACTTTTTTTTTTTTAGAAAAATGAGCAAAATTCATGGCATAAAAACGCAATAAAAGACACATTAACATTACTCTCAAGTACACTATAGTGTATATATTGTACTAAAAGGTAAATAAAATATTTTTTCAGTTTCGAACATTATCTGATTACATTTTCATTTCATTTTACAATATAATGGATAATATCTAATGAATTTATTTAAAAATTATATCTGTACTCATTATTTTTCTTTCTCTTTTACATTAATATGTTTTTACGGTAAATCCTTTTGTTAATATTGCAAAACTCCATTTTTGTTATAATAATACACTATGCCATACTCAAAAAAAAATAATAATAATAAGTGATAACTCACAAGATGTATATGTGTCACGTGTGCAATAGGTACAATAATGTAATGTACTCAGATAAGTAATATATATGCTGCAAAGAAACGAAATGTTTTAAATACCATACAAATCATTAACATTACTCAATATGTTCATAATTTATGTACCTACATGCATTGGGACCGGATTTAAATTTATCGTAGCCATGAGCTATATTTAACTTTACGGCCTCTTCGGAAATATTTTTCAATGCCATTCTTTTTTTAAATAAACACGATTAAAAAAATGTTGATCTTATAATAGCATTCGATAAGCGATTTACACACATGTTTTTCATTCAAATCGTCGAGTTTAAAATATTTAAATACCTCAAACAACTATACACGTACACACATATGCATACACTTAAACACGCATTATAATACACGTATTTTTATTAAATGTAACGATGCAATATTTCTCATTGATTTCAATGGTAATTTTTTTTGATCCCATAATCGTTCAACGTCGATTGCCGACAACACGATGTTTTGAAACGACACGGTCGGATTCGTTTCACATGGGTGCGCGTGTGTTTGCTTAATTACATCCAAACTATACTCCGTGACCAATTTTCGTGCTATAGACAACGTTCTAATTATGCATCCCTTCGTACTGCAACAAACGTAATGTACACTGATTCGGAATGTGTTTACACCGGTGTAAAACATTTATCGCAGCCTATTGCTTATTGCGCTTTGGTCGTGTACCCTCACATACATTGAAATATATTTTATCGGCTTGTAAATATTTAAATTATCGTAATAATCAACAAAGTTTCTTTAAATCTCATATGTAATAACCAGAAATTAATAACTATCGATCAATAAAAAAAACCAGCTGTGGCAAGTGCGATGATTCAAGTGTCACGATCGTACTGTGTATCATTAGCACTTATCACCTCTCTTAATCGATTATATTCAAGTATTAATTACGTTATATATATATGATATTTTCAAATAGATGAAAAATAATGCTGAACTAATTGCATTAATATAGTAATTATTAAATCAACCGTGTAAGTCTGTGATTGATACACTTTTCACTTGTAGTCGCTGTTGAAACAGGTATATTATAAAAGTCTCGAATAATCATCATATTTATACTTTATCGTAAAATATACAACAAACTTTATTTAAAATATTCCAATACATAATCAAATAGGTAATACGCCGAATCACCTAAACAAAATCGTGTTATTAGTTTTGTTTAAATCTTAAAATGTATATTATGTTTTAAATACCTACTACTTATCATTATGAATTGTTCACATTACTAATTAATAATTACACTTAATGCTTATTGCTGATTGTTTATATGTATTATTTTATATTTGTATATCGAATTGTCATGTATTAAATTAAAAATATTCACATCTTAGGGATTGGATTTTTTATTACAAATGTAAATTCAATAGTATTATAAAGTAACATTGTTAATAAACTAGATAAATAATAAAACCCGTACGTATGAAATATTCGTTGTGATAATTAAAATATTAATTAAGAAATCGTATTTAATTCCTACAATATTCGTTTTATACAACGAAAATGATAAAACAATTTTTCCACAAAATCAATATTATTTTTCTCTGCGCAACTCAAAAAATGAAAATCGTAAAAACATAAAATATTCACTTAAAACTCATAAAATATTTAGTATTAAAGGAACACTCAATGAACTTCAATTAACTTGAAAAAAAATGTCAATTTTTGAATACCCTATTTTTATGGGAATTAGTAATTTAATGACCTTGCCCCTTAAATATGTGAAAATAGGCATCTAAATAAATCGAAGATTGTAAAAACGTCACGAATCACATATTTTACTGATATCTCAATTTCATTAAATATGTGACTCGTGACGTTTCTGCTATAATCGATTCAAATATAATAATTTAGATAATTTAGAATATGTAAGACAATGATAACTGAACAGTGGTTATTTTGACACGAGAAATAAGAACAAGAAATTTTATGGGAAGGGAAAATAATCTGTTGACCGGTTCGGCTTAGTACAATGATCAACATAATTCACATCAAATCGGACAAATATCTTATAAACCCAACTTAAACGACGACAGGCAACTATTGATCAGGTAACCACAGTTGTAATGACGTTTGGACGACATCCATACACCATTTCGGGTTAGGTTAGGTTAGGTGTGGTAGTGGAAAATATCAGACATATTCAGAGAAAGAAAACAAGTAAACTTTTGTAATATGGTGATTACTGGTCTTGTGATAACTGATATTTAAAACTGAAATGGCATATAAAAGTATATTATATATTTTTTTTTTTTTTTTTTATTATTATTAATCGAAAAAGACAAAAATACATACATAATTATTGATTAACATTTTCGATTATCTTTCTCCTTTAAGCAAAGCTTGTGTTGGAGAAAGAGAGTTGTTATATAATATAATATGATGCAATTTTTATAATATTATAGAATTTACAAGATACAATGTACATGATAAAGAAAGAGATATAAAATAAAATAAAATAAACGTATTAGTCTAAGATACACAAATAAAATCTCATAGATTAAAATTATAAAGCTTAGATATAAAATAAAATTATAGCAACTCATTATTTAACTCAAGAAATAGATATTTATATACCAAGCCTTTAATATTAATCCTTTCATCCCCAAGTATTTTTTTTTTAAATTCAAAAGGCATAGAATTGAAAAACGTTGGTCCAAGATAATCTATAAAACATTGACCAAAAGATTTATTTGTATAATTAACAGTCAAGTCAAATTTCCTCAATTCTCTTTTATTGCTTAATTCTTTATGAAATTTATCTAAGTTAAATTTCTTAACCAAGTACATAATAGCAATTTTTTTATACAATAACCTTATTGGCAAAACACCAAGTTCTCTATAGTTAACTTTCGTAGATCCTTCTATAGTGAATTTATTTAGGCAAATTCTGACTATATTATTTTGATTAACTACTAGTGCATTTAATATGTTATCCCGAAGGCCACCCCATACCAGTAGACCATATTGGAAATTTGATTGATATAATGCAAAATATACTATTTTCATTGTTTGTTTAGGTACCAAGCTTTTGAGTTTGATCAATTTAAATGTAATAAAACGTAGCTTTCCTAATAAATTATTAATATGAAAATTCCATTTTAAGTTGTTATCAAATATAACACCCAAATATCGAATTTTTCCAACTATTTTAATTATTTTGCAGTTTTCCTGATTACATATTTTATTATTGACGCAGCCATGTACTGCTATAGTATTGAAGTTACAATCTGTTTTATTAATTGAAAATGGCATAAACACAGTTTTATCAACAGTTAGAGATAGATTTCTATTGTTTAAAAAGTTTATTATCTGATAGAAACCTCTGCAGGCTTTCTCATATACCCCATTCCATGTTTTGTGTGAGAACAGAAGACAAGTGTCATCAGCATAAGTAACTATCGACCCATCAAAATTAATATAACAAATTTCGTTAATATATATTATAAATAGAATGGGTCCAAGAACACTACCTTGAGGTACACCATTTTTAATTCCATATGTGTTACCATTTACTTCATTAATTTTCACTGACTGTTTTCTATTATGCAAATAGCTTTTAAACCAGTTTAGGCTCGAATTATTAATTCCAAAGCTAGGTAGTATGTTTAATAAGATTTGATGATTCACTGTATCAAAAGCCTTGGCTATGTCTAAAAATATTGCTAATGTTTTATTGCTATTATCTAGATTACTGTATAAAAATTGAGTGACTTTATAGAGAGCATTCTCAGTACTTAACCCAGGTCTAAAGCCATACTGGTTTTTTGATAATAAGTTATTTTTTTCTAAGAACTCAATCAGTCTGGCTTTGATAATTTTTTCAAATATCTTAGAAAAATTGCTCAACATGGATATTGGCCTATAGTTGCTCATATTCGATTTATCACCATTTTTTAAACAAAGGTTTAACATCAGCTACTTTTAAGGCATCAGGAAAAATACTTTGTTCAATACTTAAGTTATATATATAAACAAGAGGATCCACTACCAATTTACTAATACATTTTAACATTTTTACGGACACTTTATCCAAACCACTTGCTGTATCGTCTTTAAAGCTATTAATAATATTAAGTATGTCAGACGATTCGATTTTTTTTTGAAACACATCATTAAAAGAAACATTATAAGGAACATGACTATTTACTGAATTGATTGTTTTTTTTATATTGTTCTGAACGATATTTATAAAAAAATTATTAAACATATTAGATGCAGTTATTGGATTATTTTTCACATTTACTTCACAATCATTATTTTTTAGTTTCACAA